CGAAGCAACAATGGATTATTTGATCAAAGAAGGGTATATTTTAGTAATTTGTACTCACAAATTTTTATGAGTGTATATTTATAAATTGTAAAAATAAAAAAAATTTTTATGGAAACCAAAATTATTCGCATCTAAATTAAAAGTTTCTTAAGATACGAATATTTTTTGGTTTCCAAAAAATTTTTTCTTATTCCAAAACCGAGTTCATCTTGTAACAGGGTAAATTACCCTTAATCGATAAGTCGCCAGAGATCGATAACTTTGTCGACTAGCATTTTGGCGCATCGATCTTCGGCCCTAGAAAGAGAGTAGGAGGGGGTATTTCGGGGAGCTATTAAATAGCTGAGCAGCGCGTTGTGTCGGGAGAAGTGGTGTAGTGTTGAAACAAGTAACATCGAGGAGTCCAAGAAGGAAGCCATTAGCAACCAAAGAGTTCCTTCAAACCAATTGACGCCAGGTATTGGACTTTGGTAGTGTTGAGCCTTGGGGGTCACACCCGGCTCAATTTCCATACTACTTCTCATTTAGTAAATTAATGGTAATTCAATTCGTCTTAGAATATTTTATTCAATAATAATTTAACTGTTTGAATTAAATTAATTTTGTTAGCTTTGAGAACAATTCCTCCAGGGGATTGTTACACCCGAGGAATGTTCCAGACCTCCAGGGTTTGGTCGTGAGGATCTAAGTTATTAATTCAGCTGGTTAATAATAATTAACACCTTTGATTGGAATTAATGAATTAATGAATTTATTTTTATTAACAAATTATTAATACGATTTTTCTGAACACCGAGAAAACATTCCAGTCATAGCTCACGACCAGTCAAGCGTCTCTCGGTACCCGAGATCAAGCTAACTACGCAGTAACGGCGTCCATTTTGAGCGCACATTCCATAAGAATTAGTGACGCAGTAAAATTTACAAAATCAATACATGGACAAAATTTAACGATTGAATTACCACTGAATTAATTATTTTATTTTATTTATGGGAAATTATTTAATTATTTATTCGGAACAATTTTAATCACCGGAATTGATTTATTGAGAAAACTGCGTCGCATTTCGAAATTTAAGACC